TAGAAAAGTTAACCACTTTGGAAGTAAAGTCATTTTCAGTCTTACTCTTTATCAGATGCTTTTGCTTTAAGTCAATACTAACTTTTACTTATATTTAACTAATGCTAATGGCAGAGTAGAACAGAAAAAATTCCAAAAGCTTAAAGAAAATTCAAAACCAAAGGAACACACAAACAGAAAACCCCTAAACACAACCCCTCCAAAAAACCCCTCCTACTAGTCCTTCTCCTTCCATTAACTTTTGATTCTACTCCATAACAGCTAAAAGCTTGTTTGCTAGCTTTAAATACACTGACAAACATCTAATCATGTGTTTTAATTGATTCAATAATTCATCGCAGCAGTTCTACAACATTTAGCTTTTAGGCAATTGTAAGCTCTGCCAGCCCCTTGCTAATTGTCTGAAACTAACAGTAAGTTCTCCTTACCTTTTGGATGACATGCAATGCTATCAAACTGATGATTACCCTGTCAGGGTTAATTGACAAGCTGTTTCCTAATCAATGGTAATTAGCAGAAGCATGGTGTAGGACTAGGGAAAAAAAAAATGGTTTCAGCTGTTCTTCATAAAAAAGGAACCAAGCAAAGCCTTTTCCGGTGGACTGATTATAAGAAAAAAAAACAAAACAAAAAAAACCCAAAAAAACCCCCAACATTTAAAATGCTTCAACATTAAAATAAAACTGGGAAAGATTCCATAAATTGCATGAAGTTTGGAGTCCCGATTCTGTTCATGTTTAATGTCAGTTGTGGTTCTGAGGCATGAAGATTTTAGCGTTTCACCTGTAGGTGGCAAGATGCTAGCACGCCTCTTTTTCTGACAGTGGTGTTTCCTTTGTAAGGGTTGGTTGGGGTTTTTTTTTGTAAGGTGTAATCGGCTATTCACACAGTGTGGAGCCAGCTTCAGATGTGCTGGTGAGAATAGCTGGCATTTACATAGCATGCTTGTGATCCAAAGTTTTTAGATTTTCTTTATGTATTGTAAATCCCATTCTGTGGACAGAGGTAGGTAAAAATTTTTCAGTTAAACATTTCCAGAGCTGGTTTCTGAATATTGGGATCTATGATCTGGGCTCTCAGTGTCAAGCTTTAAGTCAAGCCTTAAACAGAGGTTAATTTAAAATGTTTCACTCCTGATGTTTTTCTCTATATCACACTTTGTGGTCATGGTATTCAGTAGTTGTTTACATTGCATACCCCACACTTGTCTGAATGTGCTGTTTAAGTTCTATTTAAGTTCTGAGAGGCCTAACTGCCTGTAATACAAACATTTTTACCAAAACAGGAAAAAAAAATAGCCAGGAAGTCTATGAGGAAAATTGTCTTCCCGTTACAGATGGCTATCAGCAGCATGTGTAGACTTGGTTGCGTGATGGACTAGTGTCTGACTGCACAGCCTCTTCTCTCCCCTTGCAGAGAGGGTTGCTAATAATAACTTTCAGCTCAAAAAGCAGTTATAGTACTCATGGTATCTGCTTGGATGGCAGAGACACTCTCATAGCTGCTACACATAGATGGCACGTTATACATATCTTGCTTGTTTACTAGGCAAGACCTTGTTCCTCCAGTGTGCTCTTGGGGTGGACACCTGCTTGTCTCATCCCCGGTCACAATCTGTGAATTAGGTCCTTGCTGGTAATTTGCTTTCAAAACTATGTGTCACCATTACACAAAATTAAAAATGATAGAGAAACATGCTGAAATATCCAGCAGCACTTTGCTAGAGCTTTTCTGGAACCTGTTGTTAGGTTCTTAATTGTTTGGGCAGGGTAGTAGCAAAACAAAATCCCAGTGCTGTCTGAACACTGCCATTTTGAATCTTCATTTTCTTTCAGTATCACAGAATTTTCAGTGGTTTTGTACTACCGGCATTTTGTTTTGAAAATAATTACCTCCTTTAAATTCGGTGGAATAAACCCATCAGGCTATTACAGGATTATTTTGAAGACGTGTTTTATAAGAGTGTCCCATTATGCCTCAGTTATTTTAAAATCCCCGATTGATTGTTGCTGAACTTTCTTTGGGGACCCATGCCTGTCTTTGTTTATACGGGAGGAAGGCTTTCCCAAGCATCGCTTGTTTACTCAAGAAACACATTAGATGTGAAACTGAAGAGATGTACAACACTGAAATATTCATAGTCAGTCTGAGGCTGTTGAATGAGGCAATTTATACAATCAATACGACAACTTTGTACTGCTGCATTGCAACTTCTTTGGCATTTGCTTATATGCTTTGCTGTAAATAATCCTGCTGGGTCATGCTGTTATGGAACAAATTACAGGGTTGGATCCAATTAAGAGCTTGGGCGGCACATCAAACCTTTAAGTACTCGCCCTTGCAAAGGAACCTGGAGTCCTAAGGTAGACATTTAGGCTCTTTATCTGTTGCCCAGGAAGAGTTAGGACTGAATGCAATCCAAAATACTGCTACCTGAGGTGACAGCCAGCTTGCCTCTGAGGCAAAGGGATGCTTATAGCTGACATCTGAGGCAAGTAGAACACATGGGCAAACCTTAGCCATGGTTTGGTTTGTCATTTTGCAGGGCTCAGTCAGGATGTTTTGCAATTTGAAAGAATTCAATTTTCTGTTGGTGAGATATTTAGCACAAGATCTATTGAGCTGGGGACAGAGAGCAAACAAAAGCCTGATCCTGTATTGTACTAATACAGACACCCATCTTTTGTGGCAGGTGTATTATTGTTTTGGACCAAAGAACTTTTTTTTAGGTATTTTTTTAGGCATTTCACACCTTACTCATTATTGGCTTTTATATTGCACTCTGCTCTGGGATATTCATGTTTGGGAGAATCCTTAGATAGTGGTCTACTAAAGAGATCATGTACTTAGCTCTATAGGTTTCAGCTTTCCCATAGTAGCCAGTCCACTGTAAGAGACTGGGTGTGAGTGCACTTTTTAATGCATACTTTTGAATTCAGGAGATATGTTGTGTATTTTTTATTTTTTTTTTTTTAGATTAGTGGGAATGAAGGGAACTGGTGTGGTCTAATGGTTAAGGAGTGTGGCAGACCAACCTTCTTGGGGCTGAAGGCTAAAATCCTCTCCTGAGACACAAGATAGAAAGGAAGGTGGAAGGCCATGCCAACTTTCTCACTATTCAAATTGCCTTTGATTATTTCTGAGAAGCTCATGTTAAGGTTTAAAACAGGTGCCAGATATGTACCAACCTCTACGCTTTTCACAGGGCAGCATGTCAGATGACAGTTGAAATTAAGAAGGTTATTTTGTTCTGTTCCTTAAGATGTGGATGCAACCCACCATTGACTTGTCTCCCTCATGGAGCCATTGAATCCCTAGTTTATTTGGACACACCGTTTCAGCTTCATTTTATCAATCATGTGCAAACTTTAGTATGTTCTACCTAATACATCATATTATATGTGTGAATCTATGTGTATAAATGTGCACAGGTATGTATTTTTCAAACAATGCTGATGTCTTCTTACCACACATTGCACTGTCTGGTCCACCGTGTTCCTTCATGATTGTGGTATTAATAATGTAGGCTGAAGTAATTCATTCTTGCATTCAGAACTGGGTAAATAAAATGGTGCTCGTTTATGGGTAGTCTTAAGTGCTTTGTGATGGTTTCACTGCAGTTAAATTATGCTAATGATAATCTTTTAGAGCTGTTTTTTTTTTAAATGCAATGCAGTACACTTTTTTTCTGGAATATGGGATGTCTGTTGCAATGAGAGATGTACTTGGTGCTTATCGCCAATTGGAGACAATCTGAGAAACAAACCCATCTAGACTCAATTTAGAAATGCAAGTAACTATCTCGAGAATTGTAATGCTTTACTTTTATGATTTATTTAAATATTTTAGATATGGGAAGTGCCTATAATAGTTTCACTTATAAAACAGAGTCAGATTTTATAGGGCCAGAAAAGTGCCTGGAAAAAAATGGAAGACACTTATTATATTGTAAAGTTGTCAACACCAGCTCATTCTGTATAAAATGAAAGCTGTTAGTATGACTATGTTTTCCAGAGAAAAAACTGGAAATCCTTTTAGCTGTCCTATTTTTTGTTCTTGAATTGTGTCATAACTTTAAGCTGCCATTTTTTTAAAGTAAATTAATCCGTCTTATCTCAAATGAATCACATCTGCTGCTTTCTGTGTATCTGGAATAGTAAATACCTGTAATTTTACTCTAGCACTGAGTCTATTAATTAACAGAAATTTAATAACAGTGTGGCATTCAGATGAGGCCATGTATTTTTACTTCCTTACCCGAGACACCTTACTGTGAATGTATGTGGAGATAAGCCCTATAAGGGAAGACAGCTACCTAGTTAATTTCTAAATTCGCTAGTGACCGTAGACTAAATTTACTGCAAATCTAAACTAACAAAATAAGCCAAATTTACTTTAGGGGAAAACAGACAAAGTAAGCTAAACCTTCCTGGATGTTGATAGCAGGGATGTTTGCAAATGGAGGTTATAATATGTCAAGAATGAAACTTCGTTAATGGAAGTGCCATTTGCACAAGCTGGCAGCTGTAGCAGGCACACAGTTTATTCCTCTGGGATTCTGGGTGCTCTAGGTCTGTCCTGCCAGCTTTGCAGAAGCGTGGTGGTAGTAGTGCCTTGTAACTCATAGACAGACGTTACCTCACCGGACTAGAGCAGTCAGAGCTGACAGAAAGACTATAGCTCCTTTAAGTTGAAAATTATCAATTTTTAATTACCTTGCACAACATTATCTTGCAATTTTGTTTTTATTCTTCAGAGGGGCAGCTTCTGTTAACTCTCCCAACACCAAAACCTGACACAAGCAACAGAGTGAATTTGCTGTCCCTAAAAATGTAAGACCTGTGAATCTCTTGGGGCTGCCTGGTGTGACTTCCCATGGCTGTTTGCTGTGTATTTGATTACAAATCATTCCTATGGATGGAGCGGTTATTTATGTTGTGTACAGGGGCAGATCTGTTGCCAGTTGAATTCCTCCCAGAGGGCTCAGTACACGCAGAGAATAGGAGGAGCATCATCAGCATTACAGATTGCAGTAAACACGTCTCATGCAAAAGGCAGAAGAGCAGAAAGGAGAAAACTTTAAAGAAGGGAAAGAGGAAACACAGTCATTGAGAGAAAACTATGCTGCCTGAGGAAGACAAGACATAAACTGACCATCAAATACATCAGGTGTTACACAAGCAACATGTCTCGGCTACCAGGAAGAAAGCAGGAGTACCACAAAATAGTAAGACATTTTTGTAATGTGCTATTAAAATTGTGCATGACTGAGAATAAGCTGTTATTGCATTGATGATGTTTTTTATACAGTCATATTTCCAAATAGCTTGAAAGGACTGAAAAGATGGGGATGAGTCTGCCGGTATGAGAACAGAAGCGCCGGCAGCATTTGTGGCTACAGTGGGACCCCCTTGTGAGCTGCCAAAAGCTGACAGCTATTAAGCAGTGACATAAAAAAGCCTGTCCATAGGACTTGGAGACTGTTTGAGCAGTAATACTGAGATTTGCTCTAGGGTCCTTCATATCTCCAGCTACCTTGCCTATGGCATTAAATGATTTTCAGACAGTCCTGCCCTCAATGTGAATCCTTGAGGCCAAATCTCTGTTTTTGTTTTGGAGAAAAGAAACAGTGGCCACATCTCTACCCCGTGAACAGTTATGGGAAGAGGTGGTTCATCTGGGACCACAGCACAGCTGGTACTCACTGGGTGCCTCCTGCATAGCAGACCACATCTTCTTTTGGGGTTTATGTTGCACAAGCAGGGGTCTTTCTTCATCCTCCTAAAGTTGCACTTTTTCTATGCACAGGGAGTGCACCATCACAGGGTCTCCACATCTGGCTTAAAGGCCAAAATCTGGTTTGTGGGGAAACAATGGTAAAACTGTAACCGTTGTCTATAAATGATGACTTTGACCCATAGCACCAAATTCTATCAAGTACAAGTTCTATAGACCAAAACTTCCTTCTTTTTCTGCACTTCATGTTAATATTCTCCTAAAGCTCCAGCAATTGTTTTAAATATACTGCATACAAAATTTTCCCAAGAGGCCTTCTTAAACTGCACGGTTACAAAAAGCAGTATTCTGTGCCACTAAAGATACCAGTAATTCTCCTTCTTGTTCTCTGGCAGTGGTGTGTCTAAAGATGAAAAATTCGTATAGCAAGTTTCATCAGAATCTTTATGTGTGGTTGAAAATTTCTAACTGTTTAGGAATATTTTACCACAAGTCCAAACAACCAAAGTTCCATAATGGGGAAATAAGGCCACAGTGGTTTAAAAAAAGAGAATATGTTTGCATCTAAAAGTATAATTATGACACATGTACATGTATACTTATGTATAACAAACTGAAGAGAGAGGAAGTTGCTAGTAAGGAAAAGACAATGTTGTGTCGATTTCTGAAAAGGCGACAGAGGTCTCCACTGAAAAAGAAACAGAAGAATATAAAGGTATAATTAAAGTTAATATACAGAAGTTTATGGATCACAAGTGTGGCTGATAAATACAATTATGTTGATAAAGTATGCTTAAGTTTCTCTAAGGTTATTTATTACAACACAGACTTTTTGCTGAGACTAGAACAATGCAGAACCTATATGACATCCATTTACTCCATTAAAAACTTGTTAACGAGAATTTGGCAGTATGCACTATTATTGAAGTCAGGAGTTATCACCAGGGCGAGTTTAGGAAGTGGTTCCATACTACTTAAGATTTTGAGGAGTGCCTTGTTAAAATGGGAACATTGATTAAACTCCACACTTTTGATGCAATGGGAGCAGGAAGAGGTCTTTCCGCCAAACCATTCTTCCTTTCCGTGTGTGATTTGTTCTATTGTTTTCCTTGGCATTTACCATTATTTTTCCACAGGCTATAAACTAAAGGCACTTCTAGTCTGCCCATGTGCCACAGGCCTGTAGCACTTCCTTTAATTAATTCCTGTCCAAGATGTTTAGCAGGAGTCAACCTAGCCTCTCCCCTAAAAGCCAGCTGCTACTCCTGCTAAATACAGTGAATTCTGCAGTGCCACAGGTCTGATCTGGCAAGGCAGGGAGGGAAGCAAACATTCCTCCAGGTTGGTGGACAGCTAAAGATCCCAGACCAGTGCTTGTGACAGGATCTGTGCAGGGATATGTCTCTGACCTCCTCAGTTGCTCTCCGTGTTCCTTGAGCAGGTGGCTGTGATCCTCATCCAACCCCTTCACCTTCCTCATGGGGTGGAGCCATACCAACCACATCTTCTGTATTAAGATACAGAAGTAATGTCCCACTGAGATTATCCAGGCATTTGGAGAGCGAGTATTGGTAGTGACTCCAGTTAGTTGTAAAATCTGATAAAGAAGGGGAAATGTCAATGGGACTTGACTACGCTGCTTGTTGTTATTCTTTGCACTTGTACGGATTATAGTATTTTTTCATTATTCTGAGCTAATTTTTATATCTACTTTTGGGACTTTTGGGGGGTTTTTTGGGAAAGCAGCAGATGATTTAAATCAGATCAACCATACCTTTGCGAAGGAACTGGCATTTCAGTGTATATACTGTTGTTCCTGTTGTAAAAGGAATAATAGCTCATTGACTCTATTATTCTTCCTCCAATTAAATGCTTGTCATTAATCTTGGATGGCATTTGACAGCTTCTATCAATGCAACATATGTATGCACAGTTACAGGATGCAGGAATGCACCTGATGAAAGTAGCTATATCCCAAGAAATGGTATTTCTGGCAGGCAAGCTTCTTGTACAGAGATTTAAGTGATGATCAAGTCAGATTCTGTCACACTTGATTTAGGGATTACAGTGATTACACATTGTGGACAAAAGTTTCTTCGTTAACGTAAATGTTATTTTTACTTACTTTTAATACACTAACAGCTCAAAAGTTTGGAGAAATTTGATTCTAGTTTGCTTCATTTTTAATTTTTACCTTTTCTGGCAGAGCAGAGAACTTTTTGTACTCACGTATGGGGCTTTGGTCGCCCAACTGTGCAAGGACTACGAAAAAGATGAAGATGTCAACATCTGTTTAGACAGAATGTAAGTACTTCTTTAAAAGTTCAACTCTATCGATAGTGCTATTGGTCCACCTATATGTTACCTTTTGGCTTTATGTCTGTTATCTTACGAGTTCCATCACTTTGTCTAGGATTAAAGAGCTCATGGTGATAAGGTTCAATATTCTGTCAACAGAAATTATGCTAATTTGTGAATAAAGATCAGCAATTAGATTTTGAATTCTTAGAAGAAAACTGTCAAATCGTTTTGATAGTTTATGCATGTTCCTTGTTGATCCTTTGTTATGCTAATTAATAATAAAAAGTTCTAAATTTCTTCTCCTATATCCATGTATTTAATTTCAACTTCCATGTTAACTTTCCTCTTCTGTTTCTTCATACCTATGTTATTTAAAATTAGACAAGCTTTTTGTTTCTCATGGGTATTTTCTAGTTAACATGCATTTCTGTGTTCACTGTGGATGTGACCTTCCTGTGGCTGCCCCTCATCTAGCTACACATGGGTTTGTGACTCGGACAGCTAAGAAGTAGTCACAATTCCAGGTTGTAGGGATTTGGCTGAGGTGATTCAGTCAATAGGCAGCTTCCTTTTGTAGTCAGTCACCTTTTCTGAGGGTGTAATTCAGGTGCCTGGCTTTGACCCTCTGAATTTATAGCGATCACAATGGACCCAATACCTGACCATTTTATTATTAATCTGAAAGTTTGCAAACAAGCTATAGTCTGATAGCTATTGGTGGAAGTGAGTAAAAAACCAAAATCATTGCTTGGGAAAAAGAAAAGTAATATATTCACAAACTAAGAAGGGACAATATCCCTCAGATATTTATTCTGTATTCATCTCTCATTCAGCTCTGGTGAAAAAAAATGTTTCAAAAATACACAGGATTCTTTATGATGCTATGGTAGAAATTATTGAAGGGTAGTTTTGGAAGATATGGAGACTTATCTTGCTTCTTGTGTTTCTATTATTATAGCTGTTTCTATAAAATCTCTTTTTTTGTCTTGATAAAGACTTGATAAAATAGTGACAGGTTTCATTAAAGCAATATGGCCATCATTATTTCTGTGAAGATGAAGACAGCTCAGCTTGAGGAAGAAGACCTGTCACAGTTGGGGACAGTATTCTTAGCTCTCTCTCTCTATATATATATATGTACATATATAATCCATAATGAGAAGGGTGGGTTTTTGCTGTACAGTTGCCAAATAGCTGCTTAGCAATTTATTATTCATTTGACTTTGCAAATCTAAGGCATAAAAGTTGAAAAGTTTCTAAGTAGTCCTGTACATCAGCAATAAATACCTTGCTAACTGCTGATGACATATTTACCAACATTATTGGCATTGCTATTTAGGCAATAAATAAATATTTCATTGTTTTCTGATGCAGAACATATAACTTCATGCTGCCAAAACCACTTTTTGGTCTTGTCATCACATTAGACATCAGATCACTTTTTGACTTCTTGTCAAAGACGTGGTACAAAATCAGTAAGAAACTCCATTGAGTTCAGGCTGCTTCACTGAGGGTGTAGGGCCTCTGACAAACAGGCAGAGACTGCCAACATCCACATAAATGGAAAGGAAAAATTCCCTAAAAATATTTCTGAGTTGAGATCACATTCTTTCGTAACATTGGTGTCAATCTCTTTCCCATTTTCAAAAAATGCTGAGAGGCTTAGCTATTTTGCACACCATGTAGTTACTTGATTTCTTTCTGCAACTAGTAGATGAAGGGAGAGAACACGTTAGAAAAAGGGCAGAGGGAATTTGTGGAGGAAGAGCAAAAAATGAGGTGAAGAGGTAAGAGGATAAAGTGAAAATCAGGTGTGAGTCCATTTCCTGTGGGTTCTCCTGGCACCTGAATGCTGCAGTGAGGGTGCCCAGGATTTGCTGTACTCCATACCAGCCCAGAGATGAATGCTGTGACCTGAAGGGGCAGTTGCTTTGTTCTTGGCAGAAACAGTGTGAAATGAACTCTGGGAATCACAGAGGAATGGAGAAAATCCTATGCTATGGTATCCTATCCTGTTTTTAGTGACAAAGCAGTATTAATCAGGTGTATTATCTGTATATTATTTTTATATTATACTCATATATCTAACATCTAATATTTATTCATATATTTAAATATAAATGTATGTATAAACAATGTGTACATAACATGCATATCATACGTGCCAGGAGTATCATGCTTAAAGGAGTATGACTCTTTAAATGACTACATGAAGAGCAATCCCACTGTGCTGCAATATGTGGTAGAAAGAATAATCTAGACCAGCAAAATCTGTTGTCCTTAATGCCATTCATTTAGGAACATGGAGCAGTTTTGCTGAGAAAACCCAAGAGACAGATTATGGAGATGGTAGGTGGAAAGAAGATCCCCATTTTGGATGTTAACTTTCTTTGTTTTCTCCTTAGGGGATACAGCATTGGCATAAGGCTGATTGATGATTTTTTGGCTCGTTCAGCTGTGAAAAAGTGCCGCAGTTATTCTGAAACTGCAGACATGATTGCACAGGTAAGTAAGATTTATATTCTCTAGAGCTTCATCAGTTTCAGTGGTCTTAGTTTTTCCCTCCTCCATCACTTTGCTCCAAAACAGTTACCTGCATTTTCTGCGATATCATGCATGTCTTATCTAAAACCCTTCATCTCCACAATCATACCCATGCTTCCATTGGGTGAAATACAGCCTTTTCCTTGTCTACAACTTCATATCAACCAGTAGCTCATAGAGATTGGCCTTGAAAGGAGACATCAGTTTCTACATCTGTAGCATAGTGCTACGTCGAGCTGGGAAAAAATTTGACATTCAACAGAATACAAAAAATGTCATGTTTGGTGGGATAGGATGGTCTTGATAAACCCACAGTGGTAAGTTTACTACAAAGGTTGTCAGAACCACAGAACTGGTTAATGTACTTTAGTACAGTTGAACCATCATTCTTAAGTACAGAGGATTCAACAACAAAATACAGTGAGAAATTAGCCATCAAAGTAAGGAAAAAGACACTGTTTCTCTGCAGGTTATGTTTCAAAAGAAACTTGCTGAGAGAAATAAAAGTACTTGGAAAGATTGGAACAAACTTTAAAGCACACAGTCTCTTGAAAAGACTATTTTTAGAAAACTAAAAGAGTTCTGCAGTAGGAGTATAACCTTTCTCAGGCAAAATATGATATGGAGAGCATTTTCACATTTCTTTGGCAAAACATTTTTGAATAGTCTTCAAGCACATTTGTCTGAGGCACGTACCAACAAAACATATGCAAAATGACCCAGCACATAACTGCAAATAAGCTCTTAAAGCTGCTGGTTCAGAATTATACAGCTGTTTACATGATCTCTTTAAGTCTCCAGCAGTCGTGTTCCCAGCCAGGAGAAAGGGCTTAAATACTTAACTGCAGTAACTCTTCAGATGTAGAAATCTGTTTGAGGATGAGCACGTAAAGTAAAGCCAGGTAAAAGTTAAAGTAATTAAGGCAGTTAAGTAGTTCAAGTAGTTCAACATCCTGTACGCATAGCTGTTATCCTGCAGTCCTTTGGAAAGCGAAGGGGAAGTCTGTAAGACCAGGCTGTGGGTGTTCCCTGTGGAAATGGAAAGAGATGAAGCAAAGGAAAAAACATAAAATGAGGAGTAGAAAGCCACCTTGCCATATTAAGAAATAAACATCAGAGGAAAGGTGCACCTAAGGCAGTTACTGAGGGCTTAAATCTTCAACCACTGGTTCAGACTGCAAAGCCTGGGGTTTACTGCTAGCTTATACTGGACTGGAGAAGAGCCAACGAGTTTTGATGATGAGCCAAAGTGAGTCCTCCTACACTGAGTTCCCATGGTGCTCACTGACTTCTCGTGTTGGTGCTGGGACTTTACGTGGTTACAGTCAGGACTGAATAAAGAAATAAAACAGGCCATGTAAAAGTAGGCTTTCTGCTCACTGGCAGATTGTGATAAGAAAATGCAAAGCAATTAAGGAATGATATAAAAAACAAAGCTCAGTTGAAGAAGTAATGTCCAAGACTGGATTCAGAATTTGGATCTGAGGATAACTGAGGATTGCTTTTGAAATGAGGGTGATAATTTTACTCTATAATCCTACAAAATCAAGTTTTTACTTCAGTTCCTCCTCACAAGTTGTTGACATCATTGACCTGATCAAAAGAGATGCGAAAAACAAACAGCTTCTGGTTTAAGATCTAATCCTATAATAATGTTACCTTCTGTAGCACAATGTCACCGTGCCCCAGGAGATGTCTGTGTGTACTGAAGGTGTCAGCAGCTTGGCTGGTCCCTCTGGTCCACAGTGAGCCAGTGCTGGCTCACAGACTCCATAGCTGTGTTAATACAGTGCTCTGCCTCAGGATACATCCCTTGCTAAAAAGCAGCGGCTGGACAGATGGGCTTTATTGTGGAGGCTCAGTACCCCGTGAAGTCCACAAACATGTGTCTCTGCAGCTGCTTGTAGAGAGGCCCTTGGGGACCAATAGGGCTGGGGTAATCCAACCATGTCACCCCCAAGCCCAGGGTTGTTCCCCTTCCCATGGGAGGTGCTGCCAGACAAGGTCCCTACATGTTGACATATGGCCAGTTTGAAAGTCTGACAGAAGTTGGCAGAATTTATGAAGCTGGTAAATGTTGCTTTTCAGATCTCACCAGTGAGAGGGAAATGCATAGCCCAGGTTGCTGCACTAAGTAAACCAAGACAGTAAACTGAAAAATGAAGTGCTGCACTGTAAAGAGTAAAGAAAAGTTTATGAGTACGTGGAATCAACAACAGTTGGCAAGACCTTTAAAGCATCTTGCTCTTCCCAAACAGTGACTGTGGAAAAGTATTAAGAATGAAAAGTATGCTAGCAAAAATGTAATTTTGGCAGCCTTTCCCCTTCTAAGCAGATTAATTCTGGTGCTTCATTAATCCTGTTATTATGTCATCTGAAATTATGATTTTGATTTTTTTTAGCAGCTTGTCTTTTCACTTACTTTGCAACATTACTTACACATACAATATTTTGTGGTGAAGAGTCTCCAGAAGTATATAAAGGGACTGATAAGTTAGTGGCCTCCTAAATATTTCAGTAATTCTAGACTGTATTTGAGCACCATCAAAATGGTAATGAATTTTATTCTTGCTGCTTGAGAAAGATGGGATGTTGGTTGAGACTTTGAAAAAGGGCAAAAAGGGCAGTGCTACATTTTTTATTCTGTCTGTGTAGATTTCTTATTTGAAGTAATACATAATCCCGTAGAGTTGCAAGTAGCATTTTCAAAAGAGACATACATGCATGTCATTTTGATGGTGAGCCTCTGTACATGTCTAAATAAATATTCTTTTTTCTTATATTTCATATAGAAAGAAATGAGAGATTTATAGATGCAACTTTTAAAACTGCTCATTCATTTTACTTCCCTGTCTTTTGGAGTCACAAAGAAAGATGGAAAAGACCTTTGTTTTCCCCTCTGAGAAGTTGTGTATAGTAGTTTTAAAGGAATTTCTGTTCATTCATAGCCTGGTTTTAAAAAAAAGAAGTTCATATCTAATTAAATGAATTACCTATGTACTTAAATTATTTTTTTCTGCTGAGACTTTTTTACAATTTTCAGTTTATAACTGTTCAATTTTGCCTGAGCTTGGTGCTCCATTGCAAAGCAGCTACTGTGTTTGCATAGTTTCCGTGCAAGTTCTCTTTTACACAGGAAATTTTAACAACAGAATTTGGACAGATTCATCATACCGTAATGCAAAGTACAGCTGAAACTAAATTGGAAACATATGTGGGCCTAGCACGATTAACTAGTTTTTGTTCTTGTAACAAAGACCTGAAGTTTGACAGAGCAGCAGATGCAGAACGTAAGAGTTAAGAGAATTTAAGTGAGAAAATGTGGTTCTCACGGAGGGAAATAAATAGTAAACTAAGGGACAAAGCACAGAGAATTGAGCAGAAGTTTCCCATTTTATTTGTGGACTCATATTTTGATGGACATCAGAATGAATGTAAAATCTAAATTTTCCAAGAGAAAATGTTGATTCTGCTGTTCAGGTTTTTTTCCAGTTTGTTTTGGATAGTGTTGACTATAGTCTTTGCTTCTTTCTGAGCTGCCACGGTAGCTGCTGAACTTTAATTCAGGGACAATGTTGATAAGAAACAGCTTTTGTGGTAGCTGTTTGAGGGACAGGGTTAAATTTGCCAAAACCGGATTCCAGTTGAAAACATAGGAACAAACTGGCTTCTGTTTTTGTCTGGTTTTATAGAAATATTACAGCATCCGCATGGCAATTGCATCCAGTCACAGGCACTTTGGTAAGACAACACAGAGTAACACAGCTCTGGGAACGAGGGTCAGTGAGAGATTTAGGCTCCTGCCAGGCGCGCGTTGCAGCGTGACTTGTTCAGCAGCTGCTCTTAGAAGTGGAGGCACTCTCAACACGAGTTACCTCTGAGCATGGAGCAGGGTAAGGATGAGGAGAGGAGAATGCACCTCAGATTTGCCCCTTCATGATAAAGGGGAAGGCCAGCCTGGGAAACTCTGGTTTCAGATGGTCCTGGCTACTCAAATACAGAGCTTTGAGCTTTCTCCTGAGGAAGAAGAGGGTGCCAAAAGCCCAAAGTGAGATCTTTCTGTCTTCCCATCTTTCCCTCTGATAACTATGCTTTTGCCTCTGTGTCCCAGCTCTAATACCACAGTGGAGACATCGTCCTTACATAAACCAACTTGTTTGTCATATTTCTTGGTCAGCTCATTAACCTGCTTAGTAGCATCTTCCACTTTGCATCCCCACTTGCTTTGGTTTTCTGTGGTATGAGTGAGAAAGGAGGTGGAAAGATGGCTTTGTGAAGGGAAGTTTGGCTCAGGCGGTGAGGACAACTTGTTAGGTGGTGTCTCCTCTGCTCTTGTGTGTAGGGAGGAGGTAGGACAGGGCTGGGCAGTAGATGTTGGGGCATCTCTCATAAAGAGAAAAGCGGACAAACGGGAACCGACATGTACCCTGGAATTAGATAGTTGCTATACCAGGAGAGGAGTCTGGGGAGAAAAATCATGTGTGCCAGACATGGTGTCAGACGTGCCTGCTGTTGTGACTTTGATTTTGGCAGTGTTGCCTCTGTGCTTTCAGCTGCAGCAGGTGCATTATAGGCTTATAACATGTTCTAAGTCTGCTGTAAAGTGGGTCAGCTGGGATAAAAATCATTTGCTCGAACACCACAAGTTCTTCAAATCACACGAAGAAAATTCCAAGCAGACAGCGGTTTCACTCTTGGGTTTTATTTTTAAAAAGAGTAATGGTCTGTAAAGGTAGGTGAATGCTTTTTTCTGCTAAAGAAGTGCAGTGAGTATGAGAAAGTTGTGTAGAGCACCCTACAACAAACCCTGGTTTGTTGATAAGAGCCTGATTCGAGCAGAGCAAGAGTATGATTCTTTGCAGACTCAGGGAGACTGGCAGTAAAATGCTGCATAAAAGCCTGCCCAGTCACCCCAGGGAAAAAAACTGTGTGAGAGCCACGTGGTGAATTCCAAGTGGGTGAGGTAAAACGTAGGGCTCTGGGGTGAAACATATTTCTCAGAAGCACTGATTGTGCAGTTACTTCACCTGTGTTGCCTGCCAGTTCCTCTTGCTCCCGATACTAAGTTTCCTAAGATATTCAGAAAAATGAAAATCAGCCTGCTGTAAAAATATTTTCTTTTCTTAAAGCGTGGAATTTCCTTCCAGGCCCTCTGTTGTACACTGTCTGCAGGCGCAGTATAAACAATATTACGCAGCTCTACAGACTGCAGCCAGTGCCTGAAACACTCTCAAAACAGATTTATAGCCATACAAAGCGAAATTCTCAGTGGGAGAAGATAACATGGAGGCAAAACATCAGTGATGCATTTTCATTATTGTAGCAAAGAACTAACAACAACTGATTATGTTTCAAAATAGCAGGTTATTTTTTAACAAAAACAGAAAAATGCTGAACCATTTGGTAATTTCAAGTTCTTGGTACCCTACACTTTGGCTGTAAGGTTTGTCTGAAGAGTTACCTGGCACCTCACTATCAATGGAGGTTGCTGCCCCACGTCACAGGCAGATGTCTCAGGGACTAGAAGACCAGGACTGATCACTGTGAGCATCCGTGGCATTCTAGTTACAACAGGAGATGCCTTCAGTGACCACTGGTCCCTCAAAACAACGCTGTGCCTGAAAATGGCCTGGAAATGACCCGGAAGGAAAAGCCTTTACTTTCTGTGGGCTGTCAGAAAGTCACACTCGTCTTCTAGTGTTATATTCACACCTTTTAAATGGTGTTAGTTTATGATAGTCTCTTGATTTACATAGGACAAATGTACTACAAGCCTTTTACATAGGATATTGTTAAAATCCTCTTGTATAAATCATTAGTCATCTCTTTTTGCTGTCAGCTCTTGATCCAGAACCAGTGACGTTAGTAGGACATGAACCCTAGGTGCCATGGAGGACTGCAGCCTTTTCAGTGATGTAGGGAAATAATTTAATTCCATCCTTTTGGAGTAAGTTTGTAACTGGGAGGGAATATGATGAAGAAAGAGGCCATTGTGAAAAAATATAGAGATGAAACCAGCTAAGAAGTATGCTATATTAGCAAGATATTAAAAAAGCTGGAATATATTTATCTATGGTATTTCCCTTCTGTCTACAAAGTCTAGCATTGTCTCTCTTTCCTCATTGGTTTTTTTCTGGCCTTCTTCAACCAGCCTGTGAATTGTGCTGTAATGCTGTTTGCTGCTGCTGAAAGAGTAGAGCTGGGAAGCATCTTCCCATGCCTGAAAAGTTGGCAGGGGAATCGCTTCTGGTTCCTTGTTCTCAAAAAAGCACTTTAGATTTCTCTCGCTCAGCTTGGTGGCGTATAGCTGGAAAATCTGCTCCAGTTGCTCCTTCTCCTTCTCCATGTACACCCTCCAGAACATCAGCTGGAGGTGGCTGACTTTGGACTGGCAGCTGGCACAGCAAGTGGTTAGCAGGGAGAGAAGAGCCGTGGTGACTATCACACACCAGCCTAAAATCTGAGAAAATAAAAGAAATGAGTTTCAGTTTAAAAAGGCCCAAGCGAAAATGCTACTTAAATTAAGAGTGTCCAACAGAATGACCACACTGTGTATGGGGGACCTGCTGCTCCTCTTGGGACCCTGCTGCAGGCATCTCATTCCCAGTTTGCATTCAGGGGCTGGCATTAGTGTTAATGGGGCTTCCATATGGGGCCCAAGAAATCAGGATTGAGGCTTCTCAATAGCACTCATTTTGATGTCTCCTTCTCAGGAAAGCAAAAGCTGTTGATTTTTACAGTAAAACTCTCAAGAAAAGTTGGCTTATACTAGAGTCTGGCTGTCTCCCCCGTCGGTTTTATAACTAAAGGAACTTGGATAACAACAGCTGGAGACATGTCCAGCAGAAGGGCTTTTCAGGTTCAGGGACAGATGATCTCAAATCAGACCTCAACTAAAAGACTGTGCATGAAGAAAAATCTAAGAGGTCTAAATGGTCAATCAAAGGTCTAAATGATCAATCAAATAATGTTATGGGTAAATAGAGCTATATGGAAAACAGAGAGGACCTAAGAGCAGGAGTAGCATCTGGGTAATTTAGAGAGGATGTTGATGAGAGTTTATTGCAAAACTATTGGAATTGCTCACTGAATTCTGTCACACAAAGGGAACAAGTTCATAGGGAGAATCAAATCTGGTAAATGGTTTTCTCTCCTGAAAGCGTTAAATAAAATTACCCAGCAAAAATTAGGATTAAGACACAATTCTGAATTGTGACAAACTACAAAAGCAAAAAGGGTAAGTAACTTCTGTCCCAGAACAATCAACCTTTTAAACTGTGACCATTTTAAGATGTGTTATTTTCAGACTTCTTTTAATTTTTTAAAAAAACCCAAACAACAACTAGAACTGTTTTAGCATTAATTAGCTAACAAGACTATAAAAGATAGTCTTAAACTTAAAAAGTTTTCCCCAAATTCTTTTACCAGGAGGTTCACTGAAATCTAAGCTATTCTTTTGAACATTTTTTGACTTTGATGAATCAGGCCTTTGTAGTGGAAAATCATTATTATGCCAAAACTGGTTTAAAATTAACTTCTTGCCCAATCTGTGAGAAAGCTGGGAGGAGAGGGCATGAGAGAGAAGAAATAGCACGTGCATTGGCAGGTCTGTGTTGGCACTGGAATAGAGTCCAATTCACCCACACAATGATTAGAAATAGTTGCTGTATTTTGAGAGAACTTTGGTTTTGCTGAACTTTTTTTGTAGCAACTTCAGAGTTTGACAAAAATCTATCAGGAACATATTAAAGGAAAGAGCTACATCCGGGATTAGAGCAGGGGCAGAGGATGGAAAAATGTGCTTCAAATTGTTACTGGGGAATGTTCTGCTTTAAGGAGAGCAGGGGTGTGAACACAGTTTTTTCATGCCTAATGCCACTGGCCTGGCCAATGGTTTTACCCACCTACTCTACTGCAATGTCACTTGTTTTCAAACAGCGGAACAAATTCCAGTGTGGAACAAATATTCTGTGGGTTTCAGAGACCCATATGAACCGGAACTGATTTTCCATGCTTTAATGGTGATGATACAGAGAACTGCACCATTTCTCGTGTGAACTCTTCCACTGATGTTAAAAAAATAACTGCCAATAAAACGCTATATTTAGCTGAGGGAATGCAGAAAGTTCCCTCAGGGAAGTATGTGAAGCGGAGAAGCTTGACAAACAATTATTCTTAGGGACTTTACTTTCTATTCTTAGGGACTTTACTTTCTTTTATTATTCCAATCACTTTGTAGTTACTGATGATTTCTATGGACATTTGAGAAACTGCTCTTTTCAGTAGCTTTTCACTTTCTTGCAGCTTGGAGAATGAACCCATGTATTCTAATGCTACAAACTGAGTCACTAGCCTTTCACTATTTCCTATACATACAACTATTGCAGTAAGCACTATCTGTTATTTTCTTCTAAAACTCTCAAATAAATTGCTTTGTCTGCAGTGCAGGATTTGTCTGCATTCTGCTCTTATTTGCATGAGGACTTGAAAGTAAAACCAGCTCTTGGGGAGGAAATGGCTCCATATGGATACAATTGCCTGACACAAACTTGCTGGCTCCACAGAGTGTTTTTCCTTCATGCTGACAATAATCTTTCCATCATTTTCTGTAGCCTTTTTTTTTCCCTTTCTTTTTCCCCCTTTGTTTTGATTTTTGTTTCTGAATTTATTTATGTTACAAGGCAGTGAGCAGAACTGTATCACACGAATATAGTAAAATGTAATACAATCTCAGCTTCGCATGTTCTTCTTCTTGTATTTTAGTGTTTCTTCCTTCCTCCAAGCAGGACAAAAATATGCTGTCATCTGGCATAATGAAATGAGGAATGCAAACAGGAACACATTACGTAAGCAGACACAAATCTGTCACAAATCTTATTTTCCACATTTTTTCCTACTGTTAGTGATCTGAGATTTCATTACAGTACCATGATGGTATGAAATAAGAGAGTGTGGTATGGATTTTTTAATAGAACAGACCCCTTTAATGGGGTGACATCTGTTAATTCAGCCTCCTAAACAATCCAGTAGTTTCTTTTCTCTTTAGAGCAATATTAATTCAGGATGAAAGCTTTGAGTTATCCTGTCTTATTGATCCTGCTGTCAGTGGGACCCCCCAGGAAGTATGGCACAGCTCAAACTGAACTAAAAGATAGATTGATTTTATTTTGTTACGCTGCATCATGCCAAAACTTTGTTTATGTGAAACCAGTGGTTTTACATTAGAATCTGACATCAGGGTCTTCCACAGATAAATCACAGCAGCAGTACAAACTGTGTAATACTCTTTGTTTATTTTTCTTACCTGGGACTGTGCTTGAAGAGTTCGTTTCAGTTCGTCGCTCTCTGCAAAGGGCATGGAGCTCTTGTCACAGGCCACTTTGTGCAGCTCCTCAAAGCACTTCTCAGATTTGCCATAGCAAACTGCTTGTAGGTAGGCAGGATTTTTCAAGCCACTCATGGCACATTCATAAAAAGTCCCGTTGAGCAAAGCCACAGAAAGCCACATCACTGGGGCTACCAGAGCATTTAAAGTGATTTGTCCAAAGACATAAAAGAAATGGCAGGTATTCCCTCTGGGGAATATTTTCCTGGGATTCACCCAGCAGCCTGTAAAGAGTTTCCAGGTCTTCCTGTTCAAGAAATAACCAATAACTAGCAAAACAAAAGCTGGGGAGAAGAGAAATACCAAACCGTATCTGAAGTTTTCGTGGCTGCAGGGGCATCTGAAAGCAACAAGAGAAAACACTCGTTCACCTCCCATTGTCAGCAGCGCCATAAAACTGTAACCTATGGCAGTTTTCTGGTTCATAAAGAATTTCAGGATCGTTTGGAAACCGTCCATGTTTGATACTCACTACGGAGGCGAAAAATCAAGACCACTTTTTGTCTTCAGCCGCGGCAGTGGGTAGCGGTGCAGCCGGGGAGAGCTCTCAGAGGAGGAGCAGGCTGCTGCGAGCTGCCCGCCGCCCCGCTCTCCAGATAACGCCGTGATGTCACCGTCTGGAGAAACGCTCTCACAGGGGACCCCTCCACCAGCACAGCAGATGTTGCACGTTTACAGTAACGCTCAGCGCTAGTAGAAGGGAAAGCCAGCAATGCTCTGTCTTGGCAGTCTTCCGCTTGGTTGGGTTGGGGTTTTTTTTGGGTTGTTTCTTTTTTTTTTTTGTGTGACTGCAGGTAGAGATCAAAGTGAAAACACACACTCACCAGCTGCAGGAGTTCTTGAGCTGTGATTATCAAAGTTGCCGTCAAGGTAGTGAGGAACCTAATATAGATGCTAATGGTCCCAGGGCGGGGGGGAGTGTGACACAGCTGAAAGCAGACGAGTGGTAACAATAAAACCACTTTGTATGGGGTTGTAAACGGAGGAACATCAAAGACAGAATAAATAGCCTTCTGCTGTACTCCCCTGGAGTGTCACACAGCTCCAGATTTGCATCTCTGGCTCAAGCTGATCACAGAAGAGAGAAATCTAGTTCAATTTCCAGCCTGTCTCTCCCTTTCCCCTATTTTCCCAGGGTAAAGCTGGTCTACAGGGTGCTGCATCCTAAAGTTTGCCCTCTGGTTTGCACACAACAGATTGAAGCCGCTGAGTTTCATCCTTTTGCAGGTTGCTTTCAAGATGTACCTTGGGGTCACCGCCAGTGTGAGCTGCAGCAGTGCCGCAGGAAATGAGTTCTCCTTAATCCTGGACAAGAACCCACTCGTGGACTTTGTGGAGGAGCTGCCAGCAGAACGAGCATCCCTTTGCTACTGTAACCTCCTCTGTGGGGTGATTCGAGGTGCCTTGGAGATGGTAAGGAAGTGCAGATCTGTTTTTTCCTTTGTTTGTTAATATGCAGAGGCACAGGAAAACAAACCCACTTGCTCAGGTAAATGAAGGAAATATAGTAGTGTTTAATCTCTCAGATTAAATGACTATGTCTACATAAACAGAGGGCCAGACTGACCCTGGATCCTGAGGCAGAGAAGCACACAGGTTGACTCACCTCCACACTGTCCCTGCTTGGGTCTTCAGTGGCTGACTCAGGTGCAAAAGCCAGGTGGGACTGTGGAGCCAGCTAAAACATAGAGAGAGCCAGGGGGGCATGCTGGGCTCCTCCACTGCTCCTTGAGCCTATCTCATTTGCCTGCAGAGGAGTAACCAGCAATAGCCATCCCTGATTCTTTCTAAATACATGAAGATAATATTCTCAGATTACTGCAGTTCCTGCTGAAAGGGAGAACAAAGTCTGGATGAGTATGGTGTTAAAACCAAAGCATCAGAAGTGTATCAGGTAACGTTCCTTACCTTGTTCTTAAATTTAAGAATTTTACAAAAGAATAAACAAAGGACTTGATGTGAAAGTCAGCGAGTTATACAGTTTCTGTTTTCCAGGAGATACCTTTTAGGCTGCTTTATATTTCTGTCAGTATCTAATTTGTCATATGTCTTATGGTTCCAGAAAACAAAAACTGTACAAGTATTATGTATGTACATCAGTCTCAGAATTATAGTATCTGATATAAGACTAATTAACAAAAGTATCATATCAGAAGTATTAGTGCATGACCAGGAAATTTTGTGATCACAGAGTCACCAAGTACACAATTTAGGTTCTTGGAAGAAAGCAAATCGCTGCAATGAAGGGTAATGCATTATACAGATTCCAGTGTATATTAACTTCCTTTTAATTAATTTAGTTGGGAAAGATATTTTAAAACAATCTAGAAATCTGTTTCTTATGAAACCTGAGAAAGGGGGTCCCCTTGTGGTAAGAGAGAGAGAAAAAGCTCATTATACTGGAGGAGCAGGAAAAACTGGGCATTCCTTTGCCTTAACTGATCAGATCTGATTCTTTCTAGGTTCACTTAGCAGCAGAAGTTACCTTCCTCCAGGACAGGCTGAAGGGCGATGCTGTGACAGAAATAGGAATTACGTTTTTAAGGAAGGCTGAAGACAGAAAGCACAAAAGAAATAAATGAAACAAATATTGGGAGAAACCCTTGCTATGGGATATTTTGCGCCTTTTGTTTCTGAAGAAAAGGGTAAAAGGGCTTTGCTGAGCCAGCTGCACCAGTCGTGCACCTGAAGGGTGAAGAAGGCCAGGCAGCAAACAGAAGGGGCAGAGCAAGGGGAGAGCAGTGTTAATTGTCATGACACAGATACAGAATCATAGAATGGTTTGTGTTGTGTTGAAGGGAACCTTTAAAGATCATCTAGTCCAACCCCTCTGCAATGGGGTCTTCAACTAGATCAGGTTGCTCAGAGCCCCATCCAACCTGACCTTGAATGTTTTCAGGGATGGTGCACCTACCAGCTCTCTGGGCAACCTGTTCCAGTACCAGTATAGAAGATCAAAATGGCCTGCCCTTCCTTCTGACATAACCATGCTCTTGAGCTCAATGGAAGTTTTATCTCAGTATTTAGTGCATGCTGGATGCAAAAATAATACTTTGGGCATCAACTGTTTTCAGCTAAACATGGCCACCTTTTCCCATTTTGTTTGTTGGCAATGTTTCAAAGCATGGTTGCTAAGAGGTGCTGTATTTCCCTGGCTGTTTGTGGTTAGCAATGATGACATTATCCGCTGTGACTGTTGTATGCAGTGTCTCACTGCCAGTTGGGTGCCTATTGTGGTGTGTAATGGTTTGGCATTCATTGTCCTCCACTGGACATCCTGCTCCCTTTGAAACCAGAGAGGAATGAAGCTTCATTGATGCCTGGAGCTGGTTGGGTTCGTTAGGGCTCTCTCAGGCTGCAGGTGCAGTTCTGCTGGCACGGTTGTTCAGCCTCGTGTGGACACCAGGCTGCAGCGCTCTGATGCCTGCAACAATGCTTGTGTTGCTTCAAGCTGTGGGCCTTTTCATGTCAGTCTTCTCTTCCAAGAGTACTGACCTTATGACCAAACTGAACAAAGCATGGCTTATTTAATGTGTAGTCACTGTAGATCTGTACTCACCTACGGACGCTTGAATAAAAAAATTCAGAGATTTCCACACAACTGGTTGGCTGGTCGTTGTGTCTGTTCTTACCTGCCTTTCATCACTGGCTGTTGAATATCTTTCCCTTGGCAGTGGGTTTGTTACCAGAACATGTCTGGGAAATAGAGAAATAGCAGCCTTGCAGAGGCCTGAGCTATAGGAAAGGTTTAATGTTGTCTGCTGGAATGCAAAATACCTGCGTAAGGGTTGGACCAAAACCCAGGTGCCAGCGCAGTACCCTACCCACAAAGCCAGCTCACCACCTTCTCACCAAAGTGCTTATTTTAAACCAAAATACGAACCCTCAATTCAGTTCAGCGAAACCCAGAGTTAACTCCAATTTTATTGCTGTGATTTATACCCTCGTCTCCTATTTTTCCCTGTTTACCTCTTAATCCTGCTATTCTTGCCTTGGGGACAGCGGGGTTCCTTCCCACCAGATCTGTGCAATTCTCACAATAATTTTCTCCCTTCATTTGTCTTAACAGTGTTGTACAATGCTGGCATAGTGCAATGGAGCTTTAAGAGAACAATTTTGTACAGAACAAAAACTAAGTTATTTATTACCCAGCCTGGGCTCAGCCCAGTGTGCTGTTACCTGCCAGGGAGGAGTTACAACATGTAACAATGTGTTACAACATGTAACAAGTTTTCCTACTTATTAATTTATTTTATTTTACTTTTTTTTTTTTAAATAAGAGCTGGAAGGTCTTGTGGAATTTGCCTGATTTCACTGGCTTTGCAGGAAACCTCAGTGGGGTTTTTGCTGGTTGTGCCCAGCTGGCTGAGATGGACACGTGGTGACTTCGGCTGACCACAAAACGGTTTTTAGAAGGCAATGGCCATTTTCCCTTTTCCAGCAACATCCCATCAACCAAATATTCTTCTCTTTCTATCATTATCTTGAAGGTGAATAACTTATACTGTCCTTTTGCAAGATACATTCTCTTAGTTAAGCCATTGTGGCACTGGACTTGCACAGGGGTGGGTGTGTGCGCACACACCTATGGTGACATTTTGGCCATTCCCGTGGCCTCCTTTGTTACGCACAGGTAGCTCCAAAATACTAATTGCTTCCCAGATTTTAAAAGATATGGTGCTTGCCTTGAGAAACTAAATGACTGAAAGTAAATATTTTAGTCTAGAGCTTGCTCTAAGCTCCACTGAAAGGTATATTTTCAAGTGAGACCTAATAAACTAAGCTGAACTTCTGATCAGAACTTCTATTCCTTTTTTGCCTCTTTGATACTGCCAAGTGTGAAGGTTTGGTCTTGTCACTCCAGCTGCCAAATGCCCTTAAGGTCTTTGGTACTAATTTGACGTAGTATGTGCTGACATCTTTGTGGATGCTTGTTATTTTAAACATGTGACTCTTCTTAATGAACAACAACATACAAAAACTCCCATCATGACCAATGTATTTATTTAAATGTACTTAAGCAAAATTAATAAAGTGTATTTAAAAAAAAATCTGCTGACAGTTACAACTGTCAACTTTTACATACAATTTGCGTAGATTTCAATAAGAGCACAGAATGAGATTCTTCTTATATCAGTAGGGTTAAAAGACAGCCAGCATTGCAGAAGATTTTCTGCATTAAAGCCCTGCTTCGATTGTATCTGCTTCATCCACGAATCCTAAAACAGGGAGATTCTGATCTCTTCTCTCAAGTCTGATGCCGCTGCCTCTGTTTGTGTTAACGTACTTGTGTATCATGCTGTAATACTGCTCTTGTGAACTGAGGCTATACATGACTGAAATCTTCCACCAGTCTTCACGGCTGGGAGTGTAAAACGGTACTGGGTCAGTGGCTTCAAAAAAGCATTTCATATTTATTTCTGCCAGCCTGGTTGCGTGCTCTTTAGCCTTGGTCTCAAAGAGCTCCTGTTCCTTTTTTAAGTAAATTTTCCAGAACTTGAACTGAAGATAGCTGACTGGGGAGCAACAGCGGTTCACACATGTTAAAATCAGTGCCATGGTCGCGATGATGACTATCAGGAACCATCCTATCAGCTTGGAAAAGAGATAGATGGGTTAGCAGTGGTTTTGCATGGTCATATGTAGAAGTCTAGAATTTAACATTCAAGCAGACATGAAAATTGTAAGCGAAGACACCCTGTAGTGCCTGGTACAGTCTGGTCACTGAGGAAAGAGAGGATCCCATGCACACAATTCAGCCAGCCTTACAGAGCTTAGAATCATAGGATGGTTTGGGTTGGAAGGGACCTTTAAAGGCAATCTAGTCCATCACCCCTGCAATGAGCAGAGACAACTTCAACTAGATCAGGCTGCTCCGAGCCCTGTCCAACGTGATCTTGAATGTTTCTAGGGATGGGGCATCTACCACCTCTCTGTGAAACCTGTTCCTGTGTCTCACCGCACTCAGCCTCTTCACCCCTGAGATGATCTTCTTTGGTTGAGGGTGAATACCCAAAAAAGAAAAGTTGAAGTTCTTTTCTCAACTATATCCAGTTTCTTAACTTTAAAAGCAAGGCACAGACCAGCAGTTTCTGCAGTTGTGGTCAGATTTACAGTAGTACCGAGCGTGCAGGATTGCCCTGTCCACCTCTGGTGTTGTGAATTAGACCTCCTGCTGACTGTGTTTTATCTGCTCTTGGAAAGTATTATCTCCTCTCCTTGATGTCTGAGCCTGAAAAAAAATAGCCAGTTGCAACAGCACACAGGCAAAGTCGTACTCTGCAGGTTTTATAGGCAGGACACAGGTTTGACTACTGAATATGGGAATTCATTCTTGGTTTATATACAATTTTAACCTAGATAAGTCTCAGATGGTCCACCTAAAGTGAGTGTCCTAGTAGAAGCTGATCCTTCCAGTACCTAGTGGTACTTTGCTGGAAGCTCCAGGCAAAGGTCTCAGAGAGTCCCCTTTCACCTCAGGCTGATTTTTTTTCAAGTGAAAAACACAGACTGCTAAAGAAAAATGAACTTTTGTTCCTTTTGATTCTTAATTTTGTTGACAGTAGATCAGATATTAAAAATAATGGTCAGTAATAAAAAGTATGTCACACTTTATCTCTTTTTGTTTGACTGGTTTCTTTCTTTTAGATTTGATAGCAGTATCAGTAAGAATCAGCCTTCCTTGATTTTCCTCTTTCTTACCCTATCTGAATTAAATAGTATAGAGTTTGCCTCTTTTCAGCCTTTTTCTTGGAGGAGAAGCATGCTAAATATTTAACAAATGTAAACAGTTTTTTTGTTTTAATAAGCATTTGTACTGAAAAGGAACTTATAAAAATCCAAGTAATTATAATCTTTTATAAAATTAACTCCACTAACTAGCCTTCATGTTTTCCTGAGAAAGAGTGGTAAAACCTGATTTTTCTACGAGTTAAGAGTAGAGTTTTTTCTATGAGTTAAGACGACAACCACACAAACCCAGACACAAAACTGGAGTGCTGCCAAGATTTGGGGGTTTTGTTTCACTCCAAACAAAAAAATCCACCCACAAGTGCTATTTTTTTGATCATGCATTTTGCCTTCAGCACAAGAACACTTGAACAAGACAGATACATATTTGAACTATTCTTCTAGAACACAAGTGTGAAATTATTAATAGGTTCAAGTGTTGAGATTCGTAGTCAAACAAGCTGTCCTTATTTGTTTCACTTTCCAGTTCTCTATTGCAAGAAGACATCAGCTTCCTCTCTATTTGTAACCTCAGCTTCCCCTCAGCTAATGCATAATTACAAAAGTTTGGAGTATTGAGAGGGGTCGAAGTGGAAAAAGAGAAGCGCTTGCACCATGCTTAAGTTAAACGAGAAGAAAACTTGCCGTGAAGCCCTGGTCTTGAGGCTGGTTCCCCTCCCAGCTTTGAAAGAGATTTTGTAAATGGCAGTGCCAAGCAATTGCCGTGCCAACAAACAAACCCCGAAAATAGCACAGATACACACTTATTACCTTTCTGTTAGTGGGATGGCTTTTTTGCTCGTTGTCTGCTTTTAGTAATTCTATAGCGTGAGAAAGAAGAACGGTTTATAGTCCCCAGCAGGCTCCACTACACACTGAGCAGCCAGGGTTGAAGCCCGTAGGGTGGAGAGAAGAGCAGCGAGGCTTTACCTGGGACTGTGCCTGAAGGCTGGGAAATTCAGTGGAGAAGTTTGTTTTCTGTAGTATCCTCTCATCACAGGGTATTCTGACCAGCGCCTCGTGGCACTTCTCGTCTTTGCCTTTACACATGAGGTTCTTTATCAGGCTAGTCCCGCTGGCCGCACACTCGTAGAAGCTGGCTGTGAGCAGGGCCACCGCGATCCAGGTGAGAGGGGCCACCAAGGTTCTGGCTGTCACCGGCAGCAGCAGGAAGCAGCATTGGGTGCCGGTCCTCCAGGAGCTGCAGCTGCAGCGCTTCTCCTGAGGGCAGCTGCCTGTCAGCAGGCGCCACATCTTGGCGTTCACCATGTAGCCAAAGAGAAAGAGGATGAAGGCAGGCACTAGGAGGAAGACGGAGCCATACAGAAGGTTCCCAGAGTTGCAGGGACACTTGAACACCACAGATGAGAAGATCTGCTCGCTGGCAGCCGTCAGCAGGGACACGATGCCGTAACCCACAGCGGTCTGGTGGCGGAGGCAGAAGTCTATCACCCCACGTAACTTATTCATTTTCTGCCTCTCCTTACTTTGAGGAGGGTGAAATCTCAGTCAGAAAAGGAAAAGGCAAAGGCAAACGTCCTGAAGCTCCCAAAGCCTAGAGAACCTCTCAGAGCTTTCACTTTCTGTTGGTGGTGGTGATGCAGTGAGGCATAGAAGCAGCTCTCCTTAGAGGAAACAGAAGAACACAGGCTCACTGCACAGCATCAAGGGCAAGTGGAGACCACAGCGGAAACCCACCCCAGTACTTAACGTCAAAATAACAAACATCTATCTTTGCTTCCGTAGAAGCAGTTTGTATTTGTCCACCCAGGCATTGTAACTAGCAATGGCTTAAACCTCATCATCGTTTCAGTGAAGCTTTTCAGTGAGGCAACAGCTTCAAAGCATGAGTAAAACGTGAGAAAACCACCCAGGACTGTGTACATTTTTTTATCCTGCCTTATTATTAGCAATACAATATGGCTACTTCTCTTATGGAAGAAGATTCAATTATAATCATGTTAACTTTTCAAGCAAATCAATCAATCTTTTTCAAGTAGTTAGAACAAATTAGCCAGTGCACACACAACACTGAAGCTCCAGCTACCAGAGTACCATTTGCCAGGAACCAGACTTTGGACTCCCTCCTCCAGAGCAGGTAGTGACAGCTTTGTAGCCCAGAAGAAAACCCCACCACTAAACCAACAGAAACTAAGCAGATGGCATGAAATGGAAAAATGATGGAAAAGGCTTGCACAATAAAAACAGTACCTGGAAGGAACTGAGCTGCCTATGAAAAAAATCGCTCCCAGAGCCCACAGGTTTCATTCACACCCTGAGGGAGCTCAACCAAGCTCCTAGCTAAGGTTTGTCTAGTCTAAATCTAGATGAGACGAACTGGCACTCAGAATTAAGGAAGTTGAAGCTTTGCTGTTTGTTCATAGCCATGTAACTGAACCTCTCTGAGGCAGTGCAGTGATTTGCTGTTGTCACATGCTTGGTGACACCCAGATGTGCATCCAGCCGGGGAGCTGGTGGTCACTACCATCTTTTCTGCCACAACCACTTATCTGGGATTTTAGGGTCAAAATTCACCTGCCTCTTGCATGAACCAGGAGCCCTCTGGCCTCACTGGGTACCTCAGCAATATGAATTCATCCTGATCAGATTTAAACTGATGTAATTTATACTGCACTGATTCTTCCTGGCCATTATTATGGTGGGGAGGTTAACCACAAAGCCATAGTCCCACACCAGGCTCGGGCAAACATTGCTGCCAGCTGGGCCAGCCTGCTTTTGGTACTGACTACTTCAGGCAAGACAGCAAGGTGTGACGCTGCCTGTGTCACTCTGTGCCATACCTGGGGCTGCAGGAACCGCGCACGGTGGAAACACAAGGACTTGTCAAAACTCTGTGAGAACCAAAATTACTTTCAACGAGCTTTGAGGGTCATTTAAACCTTCCAAAGTGCCCTTGCTGCTCTCTGGGGCTTGCACCAAATGTGCCATGCTCAGCACCAAGCTGCTGCTGCGGAGGAGAGCATGCCTCTAACTGAAACACTTGCCTTGGTTTGGAGAAGACTTTGCTTTGTTATTATGCAGCAGCATAATATAAGGCATGAAAAAGGATGCAAAACCAGCAAGAGTGAATCAGATTGGAGGTTGAGTTAATCTGCTCACCTCTTGGTTACAGGAGACAGCTGAGGAGGAGCACAGGGACAAGGGAAAGCAAGCTCAGGAACACACACCCCACGACTGCATTTCAGGGATTGCCTTTGCATCTAACACCTGTTGAGGTATTTCTCCTAAATTTGTCTGGTTTCAATTTTAACCTATGCAGACTTTTTAACATCCAAAACATTGTATAGCAAGTGTGCTTAACCTTCATTCAAACCTGACACCACCCCCAAGCTCTGGAAGAGAAAAAGATGAAACAGCAGATCCCTACCTGGTGTCTCCTTTAGCTCTTCATCTTGTACATCTTCATCATAGCCCCCTCTTTTCCAGGTTGAGGAGCCCCTAATATATTTAATCAGTCCTTGTCTGATCTATACCTTTGTATACTTTTTTTTAATCCATGTTACCACCTGAACCATTCTCTAGGATTCAGGTATCATTTTTCACAAGGGGAAATGGGGAATATATCAGATTTGCAGTATATTGAAGGTACAGCTGAAGCACAGTTTGCTGCAACAGCATACTGACATGACTTTGTTTTCTCTTTCCTTATACTAATTTCTAGAATTTTAACTACTCTTTGATCATCTGCGAAGCACTGAGCTGATCTTTTAGCAAGCTGTATATGATAATAAAGAAATCTCAGTCCTGAGGCATAATCTCAGTCAGCTCAGGGTCTATCTGTGTATGTACGAAGGCAGGATTTCATTTCACTCTGAACACCAATTCCTCTACACTGAATTTAACCTGCCATTTTGCTTTCTGGTCAGGCAGTTTAAGAAACTATATCTGCAGTTCTTTAGAGCAGAGGTTTGTTTTTATCTATCCAAAATAACTTCATATTATTGGCAAATATTGTTGCCTTGATTCTTCCTTAGAGGCAATGGTTAGCTTACCTTGAAATCAGAACTCACCATGTCTGAAGAAGTATTAGCAGATAGACGTTGGGATGGCAGAAATAACAGAAGCAAGGTGAAATCACGGCAAAGGCACCTCGTTAGGGCACCAAGGACATGGGCTGCCTCTGAGAACTACTGGTTTAGCAAGGGATCTTAGTGGCCACAGCAGGTCTCTGGAGCAGATAACAACCACAAAGGGGGAAGACTACAGCCAAGAAACCCTGCTACTTCACTTTCTGAGCCTAATTTTAGCAGCGTTTTATTTATCTGCAATAAAATATGATTTCAGGAACAAGCTTCCTGGGAAAAAGGGAAGGGAGCTCTGTGGATTAACCCTCCCCTCCAAGCAAACCTGTTTTCACTAAATACTGGCAGAAAGAGGTGGGAAGAGGGAGGAGAGACCACCCTGGTTGGAGAGCAGGGGAGCAGCTGTGCTGGGAGCCAAGCATGGCTCAGGGATGGCCCGGGTGAGCCGGGCTGGCAGGCAGCCTCGGGAGCCGGGGGCTGAAGGGGGTCCCGGAGCCAGAGGGGCAGGGGAGTGCAGAACCTTTGGCATCCTCTCCACCTCACAGCATTGTTCTCCCAGGGCAGCTCCCTCTCGCCCTCTGAATTAACACTTGTGTCACCACAGCAGTCATAAAGCATTAACCGGGAAGCGTTCAGAAAAAAAGCTTTCTGTTAAAAGAATCCAGAATTCCAATTTAATGGTTGTTTTTGCATTGATTTGCATTAAATTTCATGCCTTCCAAGGGGGATGAAAACAATGTCAGAATGAAGAAGATAGACACTCGAACGAAGAAGATAGACATTCTTAGAATGAAATGATTATTTTTGTAATTTGAAACGTCTTTCCATTTTGAAATATACTTTGTTAAAATGAAGTGGTCAGCTGAAAACAAATTGACTTGTTTAATATTTTATCAAGCTTCTCCTTGATGTTTTAATTTCTGCCCTTTTGTTTGCAGCTGAATGAATGTCAAATATTTTCTGGGTGGGAAAGCTGTAGTCTAATTAGTTTTTATGGTTGTATCAAATGCATAACACTGGTCTTTAATGCAGTGTGTGTATGTGCGTGCTGGTACATATTTGGGGGGCTTTGCTAGTACATACTGAGTAGATTCTGTACTCATGTTCATAAGTCCTTACAATAGGTTACTTATTTTTTTTGCTGAGACATTTGCTATTTGTTTACAATAGCAAAAGACTGGCTTTGTTTTTCAACTCATCATCTCTTTTTAGCTACTCCAATCAAGGCCTATCCTGTCCCAAATTCCTGACATTAGTCTTATCGAGCTCAACTTCCTCTTCAAGCTATTAATCTAAAATTTTGTACATCCACGGATGTAATAAAAAAGAGCACCTCAGCACTGGTTTTCTCTTTGTAACAAATGGACTTGCTTTTTCAAGTGAAAGATTTGTAAGCTGCATTTTTCAGTGCCCGGTTCAGAAAGACATATGGAAAAGTCTTTTTTTTTCCTAGGAAAATTCTAGTAACGACTTTTTTCTGGTTTCAGGTGAAATTAATGCTTAACTAGTGGGGGTCTTGTCCACAAGCAGATCTGCACCTACCCTCCAGGTGGACTGACCTCCCCTGGAGGCCCATTACCCCAGTTTGTGAAACCGAGGAAGTTATTCTGACTTTACGGTTGAACCAGTCTTCTTACATGTTTGTGAAGTGTCACACAGCTCAGTGGCACCACATAAATCATTCATAGTAGTAATACTTAGCAGAGCAGCAGCCTGAGAAGTAGCACAGTGACTGGACATGCACAGCTTACAAGCATTTGTGTACATTATACTGCTATTTTAAGGCATTACATTTATTAGCAGTTTTTGGCTGAAAGTGAATTTTAGTGGGTAGGAAGGAACCAAGTCTGCAAAAGCAAGTGTAGCTCTTAAGGGTGCTCTGAGGGGTAAGTTCTGGTACTATTGCTATTATTTATTGCTGCTCTTTTAACACTAGAGGTCCACTATAGGTCTCATTTCTGGATGGGGAGGGTCCTGTAACCTAGTCCAAGTGTCCTACAGCACCCAGCAGTGTGAGGGCTTTACTGTTTGATTTACACTCATCTACAATCTGTAAGTGCCATAAACAAGTGTACAATTCTTTAAGCGTTGGTTGTGGATTAAGTGAAAAATATTTGATGAGTGTATAAGAAAACATATAATATTTACATAGGACTAGAAGGGTAGACACTGTCAGGTTTTATGTCGAAATTAAGGAGCCTTAGTGAGGTAGATTACAGAGTTAACTCATCTGTAATCATCCTAGTAGTCAACTAGTCAGTTCTAAGAAAACAAAGCCCAGTCTTTTTCATTTACTGTGGAGAATGAAATGCCATAAAATAATTTTGCAAATTTCAGTACATTAAACCCAGAATATTTCTATACTCTTATCGTGAATGTTTTCTATTCCATGTTAATGCCATTACATTTTGCTGTCTGGAATTGTTGCAAAGCTGAGATTTCATTCTGTTCCACTCTGTGTGTGGCCTAACGCTGTCTGACCATAGGCCACAAAATAACCTCTGTACTTTTTCATTCAATTAATCCTTCTTCCTCATCTCAAACTTTAACTAGTTCTCCAGTTCATGGCAGTACACCTCTTTCCCCCATCTCCAGTTTCCCATCCCAGGCTCCTTTGCTCTCCAAATTTTACTTAAAGAATTATTTTCTATCAGTAAGGCATTGCAAGAGCTGACACTATCACTTTTAAAGCCGCCCACATGCGGCGATCTTAGTTATGCCAATAAGTTCACAGCCCTCTCTGGGCAAAATCAGGTGAGCATTTTAAGAATAAATAAAGGAAACCTAATGAATCTTCTTGTGAAGGGATGCCAGTCATTTCTTCTTAGTAAGTTTAAAAGACAGGCAAACCAATCATCCATATGGAAGAAACTGCTCAAAATTATTAATACAATTAGTGAAAAGTGAAAAGTGAAATTAGTGAAAAGACATTTATAGGAACAGCTACTGTTTCTAACACACCCCTTGAGGAAGATAACTTCACCAGGAAGCACTGCTTTTGACAAAGGAAACGATGGGTGACTACACACCAAATTTTTCAACCCCTCTCTCAGCGAACAGCCTACACGATATACTAGACATAGCATCTAATTAAAATTTAGCATACATCCCTCTGTCTAACATAAACATTTATCCACTCTTCATTCAGCAATGATGACCACATGGGAGGTCTAGAAACGGTCTCAGTCTCCTGTAACTTGAATTTTGTCTTTACAGAACTGAGAAATTCCTGGCTTCTGGTCCTCAACCTCACTTGCTCATATAGTTTTTCTAATCGATCTCATTCCTTACCTGCAGAATATCCAAGCTGTTTCAGTTTGCCACAAATGTACAAGCTGTGTCAGGCTCCATGGTGGCTACCTCTGGCTCGTACCTCTGGCTGAGCTCTATTACGCTCAGCAGCACGTGTGTGTGCACTTTCAGCACCCGACTTTTATATGCAGTGAGTCCTGCTGTCAGCCTGTCCTGACGTTTGGGAGAATCTATGACATTGTAACTGGCAGGGAAAATAGTCTTCTTGTTGTTTTGGTTTGGATTTTTTTGTTTGTTTGTTAGTTTTGGTTTATTTTTTTTTTTCTAATAAGATATGATTCAAAAGGAAAGGATAATAGATAGGACATAAATGATGAAAGCAAAGCAGTTAAGATGTTGCTAAGGAAGGAAAGACCTTTGGCAATGACAGAAAACAAGGATGCTCTATCAGCCTGTCGATAACAAAAAGACAGGAGGAACCTAACTGGGGAAAACTGGGGCTTTCTGTTAAAACTGCAAGGTTGCTTGTTGTTACAAAGTGTTGAAAATAAAAGTATGTGTCCTTTAGGTGAATGTAGCTCATTATAATGTGAAAACCACACCTCCAAATCTTAAGCTAGGAGCCTGCTAGATGAGGCTCCTACTGACTAAGCCTGCCAAGTAATTTTTGAATGTACGATTGAGTATGAAGTGAGAATGCAAGTAGCGAATAGGAGCTTATTGTGAAATTATGAGCTGCCAATGATAAGTACAGTATGCCAATTTTAGACTTTTGTAAAATGAAAAAAAGCTTACTATGTATAATCCAAGGTGCGCTGGCTTTGTGGAGCTTCCACCTGGCACCCATCTCCATGCAAACATGAAATAAATATCTTGACTCTGTGTGTGGATTGGCTCTTTGCATACCAGGTAAAGGACCTAGATTTGGGACAACGTAAGGGAAAGCATTCGCAGTTGCCTATATTTATGTTAGCAGTAACTTTCTAAGTCTCTGGGTCTACTCTTACTTATTCTGTAATGCTCAAATAATCCATCATAAGTTTCATTTTATTTGCAAGGCATTTGTGGCTGTAAGCACTTTTAAGCACTGTTGAACAACTTCTATATCCCTCTTCTTTACACAAAGGCAGAGTTATTTAAGTGCCCTCCCAGAGACTCTGGTCCTCTACCCATTTTCCCATTGCTAGCAATCTGCAGGTAGAAACTTCATTAGGCACACAAGATTGTGTTTTACCAGAGTTTACCACTTCTGCCGTGAGAACCAGATCCTCCATACAGTTTATTGGAGGAATGTCCTACAGAGCCTTGAGCCCTCTGAGAGTAAAATAGATGACATTTTAAGCCTAATCCATTGCATACTGTTGATCACCCACTGGGGAAATGAGATCTCATTATTGACAACGGGTCAATCACAGTCACCTTCATTACCTGACAAACAATAAATGAAAGAATACAATTACTCTACTCAATCGAAACAATGGTTACGCTGCATAAAAAAGACAAGCATGAGAGAAATGAATATAGTTCTAGACTATAATTATAAATTATCATTTACTATAACTGCTTTAGCACCTTTACTAGGCCATGAAGCAACTTGGCCTTCCTTACCGTGTCCTGAAGAGCTCAGCTTCGCATCCTTAGGATAGGCCTGTTCTTTAGGGAGAAAAAGAAATGCATTTGCTGATCACCAACTCTCTCTTGCCACAGGCTGAACTAATCTGACTTACTCTTGCAGCAGTGTGGCAATCCAGGGAAGTTTCCACGCTCCATCCTCCTCAAGTTTTCTTCATTGGCATTTCCTGTAGGCAGATCCAATGAGCTCGTCTTTCCCAATGTTTCTTCCTTGAAAGGGTCTTGGGCTTTATTATTTATTTTTTTTTTCCAAGGTTGAAGCTGCTTAGAAAACAGACTATGTGCTGGTGACAGTATGGATTTATCCAACAATGGATTTCACAGGCCTGGAGTCAACTGCCAAGAAAGGACAGAAAATAACACCTTGGCTTTGTTACCTGAGTCTGACTTACCAGCTTGAAATTACTCTACTGAATTTTAATAGAGTAGCCAGAGCAAAGGGGCTAGACAAAGGTATGTTTGAACCCAACTAAGACTTTTGCAGACCAAACAAATGAGAATGTAATATCCCAGTGCAGAAATACAGCTATTTTCCAAACACTATATACTTTCAAACACTAAGAAAAAACTTTTCATTAGTGGAAAATGCATAGGCCAACAGAATAATTTGATGTATTTCAGACATATAATCCTTCAGAATAAGCTTTGATCTTACAAGTTTTAAGAAATGAGGTAATGTGCTCCATTCCCTTTGCTTCCTTTAGTCACAATGATGTATATAATAACATACGTAGCCAATTTTCATCTGGACTCAAAAAATCATTAAAAAATCTGAGAATCAGATTCCACCCTCAAGCATACACATGGTGAATTCCCATTCACTTAGTTCAGAATACAGTGAACTAACTTTAAACTAATTTAGACTGCAGCCCTGAAATGAAGCATGGATGACTGAACATCAGCTATTGAAGACAAGTTGAGTGAAGTTGGCAGGGTCTCAGATGAACACAGGAACCCATGCACATACATCCAGTTGTAGAATACCCATATTTTCCTGTGGCCAGAGAGGAAGAAAATTAAAATATTTAGAAACCAAAAAGGAGCAGAACAAGAATAGGAGCAGAGGCAGGTGCCAGAAACACTTCGGTGTTGTGAATCCATTTAAAATAGGGAGTGAAAGATAACCAATCCAGATGAAACTAGTGCTGAGTGCCTCTGCTGTGGACACAGAGCTCACTGAGGCTGCTTCTCTTTTGCACTTCAGAAGAAGAACACAGAGGCGAGGACAGCATCCTCTCTTGTATCAGCAAGTGTTGAGGAACACTAACCTTCTCCAGCCCTCCCACCAGCCAGCAGGGCTGTCTGGGCCAATCCCATTTGCTTGCTCTTCCCCATTGCAGCATCTCCTGGTAAGGCAAGGGCAGCCCAGATCTCTCAGTGTGTGCTGCCACCTGAGGGCTTGAACTGCTTCTTCATTGTGACACAGACACTTCTGCCCAACAGCCTGAGTTGCTGGTTACAGAAGGCATGGAGCCATCTGTTCTTCCATTTGCTTCACATTCCATAAAAAAAAAAAAATGATCTTTGATAAGGAATGAGAGGGACAAAAAGAATGGCAGTGAAAAATGGAGACAAAACTTACACAAACATTGGAGATGGAGTTTTAAAATTATCTGACCTAAAAAAGAATAAGTAAGAAACTATCAAGATTCTTTTTGTATCCAAAATATATTCTCAACACGATTATGACTTCATCACTAGTTGAAGCAAACTTTAGGCGCCCTATCTGAATCAAAGTTACATCTGTGTCAGTGAAATTCAGAGTGGCCGGTAATTACAGTCATACGCAGGTAACTCATAAATCTTTAACAGAAAAATACCAGATACAAACCAAGCACAGGCTGGAAAACCCTTAGATTCCCACTTCATGCTGAAATGGGTCTGGTCTCCCATTCAGAAGGACAGACTGGTACATTTCATTTCCCTTCAATCCACCATCACATGTACACTATTCATTTGAATGCTGCTCTGCTTTAAAAGCTGCTTTAAGATCTGCCTGTGAGCATAGTCAGCTCTTGCAACCACCTTTTTCCCTTTCCATTGCTAGAACGGTGCAGAAAAGCGTAGTGGAAATGAGAGCTAATGTGCACGACCATACCTTACTTTCTAATCTCTGTAATTCTGCAGTTTCATTTGGCAGCTACACAAATCCCATACTAGAATTCAGACACCACACTAAAAAGCTGACCAAAAAATGCAGGTTTTTCTCCAAAGCCTTCTAGACTATAGGTTGGCTTTCTGTAGTTGATTCTTCAAAGCAACAGCAAATTGACATAGGGTAAATATACACAGACATGAAATAAATAAAAATATTTGTACAAACTCCACTGTTGACGTTAGTCTCATAAAGGCTAAAAGCTACCACAGCTCCTTATTTTCCTGAAGGTTCATAGGTCCACAAAGGGGACACGGAGACACAAGAACAGATTATTTGCTTATAAGGCATAACAATTCCCTGAATTACCCTAGGGCAATTTTATGGCACCGGCTCCCAGTGGAGGGATGTGCTGGGCCATACAACTAAACCGCAACAGTTTTTGCACCTTGATTTTTCAGTGTTTCGTGGCCAATAATAGTATCACATAATATTGAAAACCTAACCAACAGTGTCTTTGAAACTCTGAAAGTAACTGGAATCCTAAATCTCTGCTCAGACTAAATGTACCAAATTTCATTGGATAAACTCTGGCATTGGAGACTGGAGTAGGTCTTATGTGTGTGAATACCCTGTTCAGTACTGGCTCAGTAGCTGGAACCTAGTGAAAATATTCTGATCTGTTCACTGAAGATGTTTAGACAAGGAAAGCTCATCACATTTCAACACATTAACTAGCAGAAGGCTTAACAACAGCAACGTAGATGATGAGTGTAAGGAAGAGGAAACAGGTGTTTGTGGTTTGAACAAAGGGCTGATGAGCACCATTACTGTAATTATCAGGAAAACTATTTTAATCGAAGAAAAACAACTTTTCCACAGAGACAATGATAATATTTTTATTTAGCAAATGTACTGGAAGAATTGTTTTTCTGTAAAGACATACAGATATGCCCCAATTCCATAGAGCTTCTCTCAAATAGCTATGATTTTTTGAAATCAGTTTAATGAACACAAGGGGATATACGTGGAGACGTCAAACTTATTTTTGTCATAAACCACATGATTCCATTTACCACTAATCCCCAAATAATTGACCCGGGGCCACCAAGAGCTTGCAGAACCCTTGCTGGTGCTTTATAGAGAACAGGCTGTTCACACAATTTTAACTGTTCTCTGTTTCTAGCCATGTGAACAGAAAAAAGACATTAAATACTTCCTTAATACCTCTTGTTCCATACTTGCAATTGCTGAGGTTACCACAGGATCACTTTGGTTATTTTGTTTGTATTTTTATAAATGTGTATGGAAGGGCTGTGATCTAGGACATTATTTCCCAACTAAGTCATGCTTCAAACTATAGAAAACTTTTATGAAACACTGCATTGTAAAACTGAGAACAGACCCCACAGCATTCATCCTTCTACAGTCTACACTTGACTGAAAGACAAAGGTGGTTTTTTTCCTGAGAATTGTGTTACTTTGAGTTAGTCCTGCATTTGCCTTCTGCCATTGCCAACTAGGCATTGTGCCTTTCACTTGGCAAGTACTGACGTGATTCCCATTTCCCACCATGCCAGATTGTAAAGCATGGAAGAGATGACATGATGTAAGGGTCTGCAATAATTATATGGGACTGTCCCACATTGAAGCATTCTTTGGTTTGGCAGAGAGAAATGAAGTCTACTGCTAAGATCTGCCCTGCATACTCGTGTTTGAATGTCCTTTTCTTAAGAGAATGTCCAGAGACATCCATAGCAGCCTGAAATGAAAACTCACTAAATGCAAACCCAATTCTGTATAAAAAAGAAAGCCCTTAGAAACAAATCTATTAAGAGGGCTCTTCTCACCAAAAAATTAATTACAACTTTACATTACTGAACTCTGATGAACAAAGCATAACATTCCCTCAGATGTGAGGCCCAACTCAAAACACAAAAGAGGAGTACTTATTAAGTACTTAGTTTTCCAAGATATTCATTGCTTGCCCTATTCTTCTATCCCTTCTGGTCTGAAACCAATCTTACCCCAGCTGTTTTTGGAATGTTTCAGAAAAAAAAGAGAAACTTTGGCCCTATTAGGGTTAATGCTTTTGCATAGACGTATATGACCATAAACTGGTCAACTAGTATTGGTCTTCTGCTAACATTGTGACTGAGAACAGGAAGAATACAGCCACAATAATATACAGCTGTCTACTAAAAGTATTGCATACAGACATCTTTGGCCATGCAGTCTTTTGGCCTTCTGAAAATACGTGAGCTGCATTGCTAACATGACAAAAAAAATAGCAATGTTGAGAATTAGAAAGAGGCGAGTATAAGAAGCTGATATTGATGGGGAGCTACTTCGAGCAGTCGTCCCCATCTGTGCCAGCCCTGATCGGCTTTTGATTGACACCCCAGTTTTGTGCTTCACATAAGTGATATCTGCAAAATCCAGAAGATCTTTCATTTCCTCGTCTTCATCAACAGGCAACTCTTTTTGTGCTTGAGTCTGTGCCTTTTGTCGCACTTTTCTTTCATTTACCTCAATTTGTGCAAAAATGTCAGGAACAGCATCAACAAATTTGTAGCCTTTGGCTACCTTTCTGTTTTTCTTTGCTCTGCCGTGCTGCTGCTGCTGCCTCTGTGAGATTGCAAATATCCTGTCAATGGCCTCCTCTGTCTGTCTCTTATCCGAAAACCTCAGCAGGCGCTCAGCAGTCTTCCTAAAGCTAGCCGTGTTGCGTACACGAGACAAGATCTGCTTCTCAAGCTGCTGGAAAACGGGCTTAAAATGCTGCAGGTTCCTCTCCACGATCCCTACGTAGTCCTTCACTTCTGGCACCGCGGAGCTCCTAATGGCAGATGCTCGGTCAAAGACAATTTTCTGGCGGTCTGCAATAACCTGTGCAAAGGGAGAGCGGGACCCATCCTCAGCAGGCCACAGGTACACGGCGTAGGCGTGCTCACTGGTGGTAATGAAAACATCCAGCTGGGGAGAATCTCCACGGACGGTGAAGCTCTGCACGTCGACGGAGGGCCCAATGAAAAGGTAAATGGCCCTCGTGACGGGGTGCCGCAGGAGAGTCGTTACATTCACGTAGTTTGTTCCATTGTACGGGTAGCCCCGGGGATACATCCTTGAGGTGATGGTAGCTTTCTCGCTGTGGCCAGTGTCATCCATCCAGTACATCTTATATATCCCATCACGGTGCCTAATAAAGGCCCCATGGACATCATCTACAACTGTTTCTTCAAAAGGCACATCCACATTGTGGAAGAAACTGGTTGCTGCCTCCAGGGGGCTGTCATCCTCTAGATGGATTTGGTCCACGAGCAAGAGAAGCTGCGGATGGAGGAGTATGAGGTTTCTTTGCAATTTTCTCAGTTTCAGTTTAGGATTGTATGCACCG